TTTCATTAAGCACTGGCCAAATGATAAGTTTATTTCTTCTGATGGCTTAATAGGTTAAAAGAAATGCACCTGCTATATTGTGGAACATTAGGTAACTCAAAGTAGGTTTTTGATTCCTAAAATAAATAACGCAAAATACAATAAAGGGATGTTTCCTACTTGACCCTATAGTTGTCTTACTACTTACTGATTTTCATTTTATTTTATTTTATTTTATTATTATTTTTTTTTTTTTAGACGGAGTTTCGCTCTTGTTACCCAGGCTGGAGTGCAATGGCGCGATCTCGGCTCACTACAACCTCCGCCTCCTGGGTTCAGGCAATTCTCCTGCCTCAGCCTCCTGAGTAGCTGGGATTACAGGCACGCACCACCATGCCCAGCTAATTTTTTGTAGTTTTAGTAGAGACGGGGTTTCGCCTTGTTGACCAGGATGGTCTCGATCTCTTGACCTCGTGATCCACCCGCCTCGGCCTCCCAAAGTGCTGGGATTACAGGCGTGAGCCACCGCGCCCGGCCCTTATTTTATTTTATTTTTGAGGCAGAGTCTCGCTCTGTTGCCAGGCTGGAGTGCAGTGGTGCCATCTTGGCTCGCTGCAGCCACTGCCCCCTGGGTTCAAGTGATTCTCCTGCCTCAGCCTCCTGAGTAGCTAGAACTACAGGCATGCGCCACCACAACCAGCTAATTTTTGTATTTTTAGTAGAGATGGGGTTTCACCAGTTACTTAGGATGATCATGATCTCTTGACCTTGTGATCTGCCTGCCTCAGCCTCCCAAAGTGTTGGGATTATAGGCATGAGCCACTGCGCCTGGCCCATTTTATTTTAATTAATTAATTTATTTATTTTCATTCATTTATTTATTTATTCATTTATTTATTTATTTTTAAGACAGAGTCTCACTCTGGTGCCAGGCTGGAGTGCAGTGGCACGATCTTGGCTCACTGCAGCCTCTGCCTCCTGGGTTCTCCTGCCAGGATGGTCTTGATCTCTTGACCTCATGATTCGCCCACCATGGCCTCCCAAAGTGTCAGGATTACAGGCATGAGCCACTGAGCCTGGCCCATTTTATTTTTAAAATATGAAATAGAACATTTTGAAAACCAATGCTCTATAATATGAACATGTACTACTTTTCATAGTCTCATTTAAAATAGGAGGCCTAATTAGTCAGGCATGGTGGCTCACACCTGTGTAATCCCAGGTACTCAGGAGGCTGAGGTGGGACAATCGCTTGAACCCAGGAGGTGGTGGTTGCAGTGAGCCGAGGTCGCACTACTGCACTCTAGCCTGGGTGGCAGAGCAAGACTGTGTCTCAAACACAAAACAAAACCAAAAGGCAAAAACAAACAAACAAAAAAACAAAACCCAAAACAACAACAACAAAAACCCAAAGCCTTAAAATGTAATTTTTTTTTTTTTGAGACACTTTTGCTCTGTCACCCAGGCTGGAGTATAATAGCGCAGTCTTGGCTCATTGCAACGTCCACTTCCCAGGTTCAAGTGATTCTCCTGCCTCAGCCTCTCGAGTAGCTGGGATTACAGGCGCTCACTACCACGCCCAGCTAATTTTTTGTATTCTTGGTAGAGATGGGGTTTCACCATGTTGGCCAGGCTGGTCTTGAACTCCTGACTTCAGGAGATCTGCCCACCTCAGCCTCCCAAAGTGCTGGGATTACAGGTGTGAGCCACTGCGCCTGGCCAAAAATACAATTTTGTTGGAAAAGTAACATTTGAAACCTTGTACCAAATGTGCTTATTATAAAAATAATATATACTTTTAAGCACTTTTTAAAGTATAGAAGTATTTAAAGTAAAAATGAAAGTCCTCTATTTTCTTATTTTGTTCCCTAGCTAATATAAGTTAGACTTGCAGGAATTTAGGTTTTAAATTTAAAAGTTCTTGGCCAATCAAAAAATCTTTTTAGGCTGGTCATGGTAGCTCATGCCTGTAATCCCAGCCCTTTGGGAGATTGAGGCGGGAGGATCACTTAAGCTCAGGAGTTCAAGACCAGCCTGAGTAACATAGTAAGACCCCGTTTCTATAAGAAAAAAAAGAAAGACCAGTTGTGGTGGCACATGCCTGTGGTCCTGCTATTTGGGAGGCTAAGACAGGAGGATTGCTTGAGCTGGGAAGATTGAGACCTGCAGTGAGTCCTATTCCTGCCACTGCACTCAAACCTGAGAGATAGATCGAGACCCAGGCTCCACTTTTTTTTTTTTTTTAAAGGTGAAAGGAAGCCAGAAGCAATATTTTTTTTTGTATATATTTTTCATTGTTGTGGGTTTTTTTTGTTTGTTTATATCATTTACCCATTTAAAGTGTAGAAATGAGTGGTTTTCAGTATATTTATGGAGTTGAATGTTTTAGGCAGAGTTGAGACATTCTGATTTCTTAGTTCTTGAAATTTCAGTGTTTATTTTTTTTATTATTTTTTGAGACAGAGTCTCACTCTGTTGTCCAGGCTACAGTTCAGTGGCATGATCTCAACTCACTGCAATCTCTGCCTCCCAGGTTCAAGTGATTCTCCTGCCTCAGCCTCCTGAGTAGCTGGAATTACAGGCACGTATTACCATGCCTGGCTAATTTTTGCATTTTTTAGTATAGACGGGGTTTCGCCATGTTGTCCAGGCTGGTCTCAAACTCCTGACCTCGGGTGATCCACCTGCCTTGGCCTCCCAAAATGCTGGGATTACAGGCATGAGCCACTGCACCCGATCTCAATGTTTATTTTTTAGAAGTTTTCATTATGGGGAATTTCAGATATACCCTAAAGTAGAAGAGTATAATGAACCCCCAGTGTCCATTCTTCGTCTTCCCTTCATGGCCAGTCGTCTTCCATCTTTTCCCTCATTTACTCCCCCAGGGTTATCTTGAAGCAGATTCCAGATATTGTATTATTTCTTTTGTAAATTTTTCAGTCTGTATGTATAAAACATGATTTTTAAAAAATGACCACGATAATGTTCACATTAAAACAATCTAATAATTACTTAATATTAAATAACCAGTGTTCAAATTTCTAATAAATGTAAAAAGTTCAGTTGTGTTTTATAACTTATAGAGGATAATTTTTAACTTGTTAGAGAAAAGTTTGATGTCATATTAACTTGTTAGAAAAAAGTTTGATGTCATACTAAATATTTATACAATGTATTTTAATATCTGCTTCAAATGAGTTTGAATTTATGTCACTAAAGTGAAATCTCACAGATTCCAAAATACACACACACACACACACACACACACACACACACGTATTTTTTTTGTTGAGTTGGAGTTTCGCTCTTATTGCCCAGGCTGGAGTGCAATGGCATGATCTCGGCTCACTGCAACCTCTACCTCCCAGGTTCAATGGATTCTCCTGCCTCAGCCTCCTGAGTAGCAGGAATTACAGGCACACACCACTATGCCCAGCAAATTTTTTTGTATTTTTAGTAGAGATGGGGTTTCACCATGTTGGCCAGGCTGATCTTGAACTCCTGACCTCAAATAATCCACCTGCTTCAGCCTCCGAACGTACTGGGATTACAGGCATGAACCATTGGGCTCAGCCCCAAAATATATTTAACTTCTTGTCTTCCTGAATAAAAAAATTCTTCGCTTACTTTTCCTTGAATATCCACTTGGTTTGAGATTTCCTGGTCTTAAACTTCTTATTTATAGGACTTAGGGAGCCTGAACATTCTGTACTGAGGAAACAGAACAGAGGGCTGGATATTGCAGAAGTCCATCTTGCCTTCATAATGGTGCTCTTATGGTATAAGTGATGAATTCATCTAGGGGAGGAGTGAGGGAGTGAGCAGGGGAGATTATTATGGAATTTACTTCCAGTTATAGTGCCAATCCATGAAAAAGGAAAGGGCTTGGAGACTCAGCCAATTTTTAACTTTGGATGAAGTATCTTGCTTTTGAGAGCACCATTAGACAAGGGAAAGGGACTTCTGATGGCTTAAATAACCCATTAACTGTATCTCTCTAAGATGATACAGTTAGAGTAACAACAGCATAGGAATAACCGTAGTCATTTAGAATTGTGTACAGGTCAAATCCCGTTACAACCATTTCAGAAGAATATCTGACTTTCTTATTTGTCTTAAAGCTTGTATTGCAAAGTATTAATATGTACTCTATCAGATTGTAGACCTTTTTTTTTAATTCTTAAATTTCTTTGAAGAAAAAAGCACAAGGACTTTTGAAGGGGCATTTCTAATTAACCCCACATCCAGCTTCCCTGTTACTGAGACCCTGGATGGGAATTTGCTATATTGCTGGTTGGCTGCATGGCACCAGGCAGCTGCTTCACAGTGCCAGAGTGTTCATTTATTCATGCAGCCTGAAAAGTGTGGTGGGCATCAGGATTTGCTTGGTGCTCTGGGAGAAGATTAACCATAAATAAAAGATGCAGTCCCTATTCATTAGGAATTTACAGACCACTTGGAAGAGGCGACCACCAAGCAGAGTCTAAGGTAATGATGCAATCATAAGAGTATTTGGAATTAGGGGTGAAGTGAAGCTTTCCAGGGTTTGTCATGTCGTATGTCAAATTATCAGCAAAGATCTGAAAGTATTTTGTAGTATTTCTGTTTGTATAGCTTTCATTGTAACGGGATTTAACCTGTAACATCTTTTCATCAGAGAACTGCAGATTATACAAATGAAAATATCATAAATCCCCATTTGTACTTTCTGTACTTTGTACCAAATGTACTTAACTGTATGCTAAATATAATATTGAATATGTATCAGTGCAAATGTTAAGAGCCTTTTGCAACTAGATTCATGAACACGGATACTTATTATTTTGTTTACTTTTATGTTGAGTAAGATAGAACATGTAATGTTTATACAAAACACGCATTAAAACGTCTGGAATGTTATTTCAGTGTGTGATGGATGAGTGGTTGCTTTAAATCACTAGGTTTTTGATTGGTGCTAGAGTAGCTGGTGTTGCTTAACGTGGCGTTTTTTTTCCTGTCCACACTTTCCACCCTTGGTACAGGTATTTTTGATAAAGCTGTGGAATGGAAAGGTATGTTTTTCTTGGGATATTCAAGAATCTGTTACCTTAAATTTTTTTAAAGAGATTTTCTTTATGGGTTTCCTTTTGTGTCTGGCTTAAGCAGACTTAGCTTAATTGTAACAAGTAACATTTTTAGAGGTAGTATTTGTGTATAAAAGTTTGACATGACACAAGTTTCTGACTTTACTTTTCCCCATTCCCTTATTAAAGATAGTATGAAAGATTTTAAAGCATTTGGGGTGGGGGGTTGCTCTTAAAATATAGGATCTTTGCCATGAAGAAAGAATGTAGCCTAAGAGTTGTTTATGGTAGTTAATGATCTAGTATGTTCTTATTGCTAGAATCCTGGTTAGTAATAATTTGCAATTTCATTGAGGAAAGTGATATAAAAGTATTTCTTAATATATTAATATATGAAATAATTTTAGAGACTTTATTAAATTCATAGAGTCCTCTGTATGGTGGAGGAACAGTTCAGCTTGAGCTGGTGACTGGCTGAACTAGAAGGGTTAGTCCGGGAAAGTGGCAAGTTGGCAGGGCATGTCTGCACAGATTCTGTGCCAGGCTTCCTGCCTGCACAGCGCTTTTTTCTCTGTCCGAGTTCTGTGCTGACCAGGGCTGTCCACAGGCATGTTTACACTCCCTGTTCTTGCAGGTTGACTTGAAAGAACCACGTAGCTAAATTGGTGAGAGACTCAGCCTGACCGCTTGTCTTTAGAAGGCCTGATTGGAAGAGTGCACTCTATTGACTTTCCTCTAACAATGAAATTGTGAAAGGTACATGGGGCAGCTGTGAGACGTGCAGCTATCGGGTCTCACTGGCACATCCCTTTTCTCGTAAAGCAATGAAGCACTTTCTAAGGCGTTGGTACTAGTGTTGGAGGCTGCTGGTGCATTAGATGCTGCCCGTCACGTCGATGGGCTGAGAAACCCTCCTTAAAGATCTGTGATGTTTTGTAAACCCTGACGGTACTGGTGGTTGCAAAGTTCGTGTCTGCTCAGTGTTCCCCATCTCACCAGAAGTGTTTCCTTTTTCTCATTCATAGAGGTCCTGTAATAAAGAGGGATCCAAACAAGCTCAGAAAGAAAATGAATTTCAAGTAAGTAATTCAGTCCCTCTGCATCTGTGTGAGATGTGAACTGGTGTTAGCCACCCTTTGCTATTCCAGGGCTTGGCAGTGTCTGTTACCTACCCTTGGAAAATCCTGATCTATCTTTCTACAAGGAGGGGCTTTTGGTATATCTCTCAGAAACCACCTCATGCAGGCTGAATGAACAGTGGGTATTCCTCATTCCTCCTGACAATGTAGACTGTGGAAGCTTGGTGTCTTTATGGCAATCGAAACAGCATTGGGATGCTGGGAGGTGGCAGCCAGGGGACCATTCATGTGTGGTACCTGATGTCGGGGCCCTGGCTGCGGCTGCTGCTGCTGCAGTGTCTTTCTCACCCCCTTTTGGCTGTTCTCACACTTCCCATCAGGAGGCAAGTCCCTGCCCAGTGGTTTTGGTGGCCACCCTTTTTCCCTGGGCAAGCAGCAGTGTTGTTTCCTATGTATGATACCCAAGTTGGAAAGGCTTCTTCCTAGACTTAGAGAATGTGTCCCCACTCTCTGAAACGCACATGTGCAGATGGCTTGAGGCCGAGAGCACTGACACATGGAGGCTCAGAAGCAGGGGTGTGGGGCACTGGTCTGCATGCTCCAGAAGAAGCACCTTTTAAGCATGTCTGCCATTATGTGCAGTCTGAGATAAACGACATAGATATACACACATATCACCACACCAATTTTACCAATTGTATATTGATTATTTAAATGATCAAGAAATAGGCCGGGCATGGTGGCTCATGCCTGTAATCCCAGCACTTGGAGAGGCCTAGGCGGGAGGATCACTTAAGGTTAGGAGTTTGAGACCAGCCTGGCCAACGTGGTGAAACCTTGTCTCTACTAAAAATACAAAAATTAGCCAGGCATGATGGTGGGCACCTATAATTCCATCTACTTGGGAGGCTGAGGCAGGAGAATTGCTTGAATCTGGAGGCGGAGGTTGCAGTGAGCTGAGATCACGCCACTGCAGTCCAGCCTGGGTGACAGAGCGAAACTCTTATCTCAAAAAAAAAAAAAAGAACTAGGCCGGGCGTGGTGGCTCACGCCTGTAATCCCAGCACTTTGGGAGGCCGAGGCGGGTGGATCACGAGGTCAAGAGATCGAGACCATCCTGGTCAACATGGTGAAACCCTGTCTCTACTAAAAATACAAAAAATCAGCTGGGCATGGTGGCGCATGCCTGTAATCCCAGCTACTCAGGAGGCTGAGGCAGGAGAATTGCCTGAACCCAGGAGGCGGAGGTTGGGGTGAGCTGAGATCGCGCCATTGCACTCCAGCCTGGGCAAAAAGGGAAAAACCTCCGCATCAAAAAAAAAAAAAAAAAAGAGAACTAGACATTAAAACAGTTGAGATAAGAAAGGAATAAAAGTGCCGATATTTTTTCCACACATTTCAGCGGCTTGTTTTGCATGTGTCCTGCTCTGGGGGCCCTGCTAGAGGATCTAGAATTTGTGCTCTCTGGAGTGACAGTGATTGGGAAGTCCGTGAGTGGCAAGTGATTGACCTTCTGTTGTCAACCATTCCAAGCCCTTTGTGCATAGACCTTTGGACATGCTGGTAACTGGAAATGTTGGATCACTAGGACCTCTGTGATGCTAAATCCAAAGACTTTTCAGTTCACATTTTATTTTGACTTCTCAGTAGCATTTTACATGACTCCCTCCCTTTTGAAATGTTTCCTCCCTGAGGCAGCCATGACATAGAGACACAAAGTACAGCTCTGGCTGTCTGCATGCTCGGTCGCCCCATGATATGACTGTAGGCCCTCTTCTCATGTTGTCCTCTCTCCCTCATTCACCTGATATATAGGCCAAAGCATCACTACATTTTTCCTCCAGCCCTGACCCCAACTTAGAACTAACGGCATCAAGTAGCAGTCTCTCCTCAGATGTCTCATACGCCCCTCCAACTCGCCATGTCCCACACCGCACACATAGTCTCTTCACTTCCTGCAACAGCACAATCAAAATCCAGTCCTTTCTGGCGATCTTCCTTTTTCGGTCACTCTGCCAGTTAGTTCCCAGGCCAGAAAGCAGGACATTATCCCCAAGATCTTGCTCTCACTCTCCCCAGCATCCCAACCATGAGTTCAGTTGATGTTGCCTTTGAACCACACCTTAGATCTGCCTACTTCTCCTCTTGTATCCCAGAAACCATTCCCTTTATTGTTGCCAGAGTCATCTTTTTGAATTGCTGACTTGCTCATGTTCACCCCTTGTTTAAGATTCCTCCATGCTCACTTTGCACCTCCGGCCAGGTTAAGGGGGCCTTTGTCTACCAGGTCCTCGTGGTCTGACCCCTGCTGACATTTCCAGCCTCAGCTCACAACCTACTGCCCCTAACCCTTATTCCCTTCAGCCAGGTTGTCCTAAACCCTGTGGTTTTTTGCCCCTGACCCTGGGCCTTTGCAGATGCCTTTCCTGCTGGCTGGCTCCAGGCCTTCACCTGTTTCCCACCTGCTAGCTCTAGCTGGGGCTTCTTCCACAGGACCCCTCCTGGCTTTCTAGACAAGATTGGGGCTTTCATTTCACAGCACCATGCGCTTCTTTGCACTTTCATTTTCTTTTCTTTTTTTTTTTTTTGAGACAGGGTTTTACTTTGTCACTCAGGCTGGAGTGCAGTGGCACAACCTCGGCTCACTGAAGCCTTTACGTCCTAGGCTCAAACGATCCTCCCGCCTAACTTCCCAAATACCTGGAACTACAGGTGTATGCCCCCATGCTTGGCTAATTTTTTCTGTTTCTCCTAGAGATGAGTTTTGCC